AAAGCACCCCGCCCGGGAGAGCCTAGAGCCTGCTCGGCCCGCCCGGGGAGGCCATGGAGGTGTGAGCGCTTCTCGCTCGGCGAGGCCGCCGGGCCGGTTCCCATGGCCGGGACGCACAGCTCCACCCTGAAGACACTGGAGGACTCGACCTTGGACTCCGGGTATGGGGCCGGCGACTCGTGCCGATCGCTCAGCCTCTCGTCGTCCAAGTCCAACTCACAGGCGCTCCACGCCTCCGCGCAGCAGCACCGCGGGGCGGCCTGGTGGTGTTACTCCGGCTCCATGAACAGCCGCCACGACAGCTGGGACTGCTGCCCGAGGACCCCGAGGTGGCCGACCTCGTCTCGCGCTGCCCGCGGCTCCCCGAGCTGGAGGAGTTCCCCTGGACAGAGGCGGACGTGGCCCGCGTGCTCCGCAAGGGCGCGGGTGGTCGGCGGCCGCCCCAGTTCTCGGCCGAGGCGGTGAGGCGCCTGGCCGGGCTGCTCCGCCGGGCGCTCATCCGTGTGGCCCGCGAGGCGCAGCGCCTGAGCGTGCTGCATGCCAAGTGCACCCGCTTCGAGGTGCAGAGCGCCGTGCGCCTGGTGCACAGCTGGGCGCTGGCGGAGAGCTGCGCGCTGGCGGCGGTCAAGGCGCTGTCGCTGTACAGCATGAGCGCCGGCGACGGGCTGCGCCGGGGCAAGTCAGCGCGCTGCGGCCTCACCTTCTCCGTGGGCCGCTTCTTCCGCTGGATGGTGGACACCCGCGTCTCCGTGCGCATCCACGAGTACGCGGCCATCTCGCTGGCCGCCTGCATGGAGAACCTGGTGGAGGAGATCCGGGCCCGGGTGCTGGCCAGCCAGAGCCCCGACGGCGGGGGCGCGGGCGGCGGGGACGTGTCCGCGGAGACCCTGGAGATGGCTGTCAGCAACGACGCGGAGCTCTGGGGCGTCCTGCAGCCCTACGAGCACCTCGTCTGCGGCAAGAACGCCAATGGTAAGTGCGCCTTCCGGGAGGGAGGGCTGCGGAGGGAGCGTTCGTCTCATGGTGGAAGAGTTGTTAAATGGCTCTTGCTACAGATTGTGGAGGGTAAAGTGGTTGATCTTCACCCTGTTCTGGCGTCGCACGGTTTCAGGGGCTGTTCACTGATTGGGTAGAAGTTGTGCCTCCCGACGGAGTGCGAAGCTTACTGTCCTGCTACTGCCCTGGCTCTGGACTGGGTCTCCCTTCCTCCCCCTGGCTCTCAACCCCGTCACAGCAGCCAAAGCCTTGCAACTGCGACGCCAGCCTGGGGCAACCTGACCCCCTTTCCAGAAAGGGCTCCAGGGCCTGGTTTTCCCACTGCCCTCCACCTGCTGATGACTGAGATGCCTGTCCTTTAAGTTCCTAGCCCTTTAGGCTCCGTGGGGAGGAGCAGGGACCTGCTCTGTGCCACTAGGGAAGGGGCCTGGCAGGTGGGCGCCTATGCGACAGGGAGCCCTGGGTGGTGGCACTTCTCCAGGGCAGTGTGGCCTTAGAGCGCTGGCTGAGCGCTGCGTCTCGGCCTTGGTGAGGTGAGGGGACACCGGCCACTACCTGCCCAACTCCATGCTCTGGGCCAGGAGCCACGGCTTATGTGAAATGTATGACGCCCAGGAACCTTTGTACGGACTGGAAGGGCACGGGGCAGCTTTCTGTGGCCAATGGGTAGACAGTGGAAGTGGCCAGGTGTGTTCGGGGGCGGGGAAGAGGCCAACATGCAGTGGTACTGCTACAGCTGTAGCCTGAAATAACCCTTCCTGCCACACCAGGGGGGCGTTCACTCAGAGCGCACGTGTGCAGCCGTAGGTGGGTGTCCCGTATAGCACCCCTCCCATGGAAGGGCACGCCGGTACCCAGCCGCTCAGCCCTCTGCCCAAGAGCACACGATGTTAAGTGGCAGAGTGGGCTCCAGAACCCAGCTTCCACCCGAGGAGGGCAGCGGGTGTGCGGACTGCATCCAGAGGCAGTTTCCCAGCACGGCGTATCTGACACGCCTTGGAACACGAGCATTCGCCTTTAATGTCCTCCTCTTGGGTCAGACTTGAGGCCAGTCTGGAGTCTCAGTTGATGATGTCACACTGAGAGCTTCACCCTTCAGGTTGGTGGCAGGGGAGGACGAGGAGGGCAGGGGCTCCCCATCCAGGTGTCATAGCTGGGGGAGAGGACTGTACTTGGATGAGGGGCGCCCAGGCTGAGCTCCAGTGGCACTCCTGGGGGCAAAGCCAAGGCACATAGGCACGCTCAGTAAGTCAGCCTGGGCGCCAGGGGCTCAGCGCATCCCGGCATAGCAAAGCACGTCCTGACTTCTCCGACACCGGATCTTACTGAACCGCGTTCACAGCGCTGGGGATCAGGTGCGGGAAGGGGAGAGTCCTCTTCTCTTGAAGTTGATACTCCAGTACGAGCGACAGATCAACTGGAGGACCTCCTCTTGGTGGGGTTGTTAAAACTGCTCCCTAAGCAGGGATAGGGTGGGACCTGCCGCAGAGCCGGCCCCTGGCGCGCTGGCGTCCCTCTTCAGTCTGTCCAGCCTGAGGCCCGGCGGGAAGAGCACCTGCCCCAGGTGCCCTGAGAAGGCCAAGTGGCCAGGAACTGCTCACAGCAGGTATCATCTCAAGGGCTTCCAGCCAGAGGCCATTTCTTACCCGGGGCTAGCACTTTTGGGGCTTCCTTACAGGAAAAGTGGGGTTCCAGTCCCCTGATTCGACCTCTTCCCTACCTCCCCCAACACACACCAAGACTGCAGAACTTTCCTGTGACGAAACAGCTCCCGGGTGCTCGGGCCCGAAGGGTCTCCTGTGCAGCCCGGTCTCTGGGAGGCCTCTGCAGGTGAGGTGACCATTTGTACCCGCCCGGGACGCGGTGCTCGCTGCACAACAGTGGCTCATTCAGTTTCTAGCCTGAGTGACTGTTCTGTGGAGGAGTCATGAATTTGTGTCTGAAAGCTGGCCTCGGAGCAGCAGTGGTAGGAAAGAAAGGGGGACCCCACCTTCCCTGCAGTGCGAGTCCCCACGCAGCACGGCCAGAGGGGGACGGCTGAAGGCCCGCTGGGATGGCTGTGATGGGAAGCCAGCCGGCGAGCGTGCCGGGTCTGCTGTCCTCCCTTTAAATGACACACGTACTGTCACACAGCTAATTGTACGGCATGGGCTCGGCCGCCCACTCGGCTTTGTGGGGCTCTCAAACTTTTAACGCCATCCAGCCAGGGCTCCCGGGTCCGATCCGTCATCCTGGTCCATTACTCAGCGCTGGCCCAGCCCGAGATGGGTGATTGAAGTCCCGTGATGTTTACAAAACACTGTCCCAGCCCGAGGACTGGGGTGACATGCAGGTTGTCACTACTGTGGTGCTGTTGCAGGACCCCTGGGCCACTGCTGGAACCAGGCGTCTGTGTGCCTTCCTGGGGGAGGTGGAGAAACCGCCTTCGCAGAGCAAGGCTTATCAGCAGAGCTGGCAGAGAGGAATGTCCCCACCTTCCCCGCCCCTTCTCTCTCGGAAAGTCCCCGAGTGTCAGCTCGGCTCTCTTTCTCACTAGGCCTTCATGGGCACCCGTGGCGTTCAGGAAAATCCTCAGCTTCTAGAGTCTCAGCGAACTGGTGGGATAT